CTGAAAGTCTATGACTGCACGACATTGAATGAACTTTCAATTTCAGAGCACTGAATGCCCTGATCTGTCATTCACTAAGTCATTGTTAAGTTGGACAGTATGACTGGACTTACTGAACCCATCAATGCGTTGACTTGGGGGTGCTCAGCACATGCATACGTATTTGCCAAATATCTATTATAAGCAAAGCACCTCGGCCCCTTGTCACCATGCAGGTAGGTGAGCCTACTTCAGGTAAAAATCTTGACACATCCACTGTCAGAAAGTCGTGGACAGATGTCGAAGCCCTTGACATACCGGGCGGGGTGGGGGAAGCTCCACTGCGGTGAGACCCTGCTGGAGTGGGCAGAGGGTCCGTGGTCATGAATATGGCAACCCGATCACTCTCACCCAGAAAACCCACCGCACAGTCCAGGGCTACGTCTCCACCCCTGTCCCAGGGCTCTAACTGGAGTTGACTCGACTTCAAAGGAAGGAAAGCTTGTTTGGCCAAATACCCAGGGCGCGTCGGTTTCAGGAATGTGACATGCTGTTAAACCACAGCCGTGTAAGCTTGCGGCCGCCGCGATTTTCCAAGGATGAAAGTCTCACTTTTCAAAGAAAAACATGGCACCGTGTAAGCTGGAGAAACACGAGGTAAATGGTGTCAAGTGGCCCCAAGAAGCTTTTCTTCCAGAGAACGCCTACTATGTGTGAGTGTGCTCTGGAGAGGGGTGGGCGGAGTCCCGTGGCAGGCCTGGCCTGGGGGAGGCCCGGGAGGGAGGACTGGGGAAGGAGCCCGGTTTTCCCCCAGGGGCCAGGTCAGCTGCGCGGTCGGCATGGCAGCTGGGAGAGGCCTGGGGGTGGTTGGAACAGATCTGGGTCTGGGGCTGGAAAGACCCCGTCCCAGGGCAGGGGAGAGGTCCCTGGTGGTCAGTGCAGCACCCAGAGCCTCTCTGAGGTCACCCACCCAGCCTCCTAGCTGTCACATCTGCCTCTGAGGCTTGGGGAGGATCACCAAGGATCACCACTGGAAGAGGATGCAGGGGAGTCCTGTCTCCCCAGACTGGAGTCAATCTGCATCTCAAAGTCAAGTAGGCATCCCAGGAACCGATTTAACACGGAATCGGGATTTCGGAGATTCACAGCTGTTTAGTTTGGGTTCATTTAACCCAACTTCACCCTCTGGGTCTGGTTCCCTGTGGTGGTTTGGTTATCTGGCACATCATACTTGGCTGCCTCTGTTGACGGGGAGCTCACTCTCTCGCCAGGTAGCCTGTGTCCCCAAAGGGCTCTGGTTGTCTCAGAATGTTTTCCTGACATGTTGTTAACTTCTCTCTTTCCACTTTACCCTCATCAACGCCGGCTCTGTCCTTAGAGCAGGTCTGAACGACAGCGGCCCTTAACTGTCTCAAGGAGCCACCACAGGCTCTCTGAATCTCTCTAGTTCCTCCCACAGGGCCTCACAGGATGGCTCTCGGACCAGACTGAGACCTTCTGACATTTGCACTCTCCCTCCAAACCGAGAGCCATGTTCCAGGTAGAGTGAGAGCGGCATAGGTCGGACTGTGGGTCATGTAGGGGCCATGTTGGAAACCCAGGCGGCTGCTGTCCCCAGAGGCCACAGTAGGACGGTGGCCGCTGCAGAACCTGAAAGCTGGTCCCAGTTAGCCTGGCCTGGGGCGACCCCTTCCAGAGAGGCCAGGCAGCCCGGGCCAGGCCTGAGGCTGACACTTGCTAAGCCCCGGGGGTCAGACTGCACGCTGTCCCTGGGGGAAGCAGTCCCCGGGCCAGGGTCTGTGGACCCTGGATTTCATGGACACCCGTGGGGAAAACCCCTGAGCCCTGAACTTGGCATAGAAGGGAGAAGCCCGCCCCCTTGTGGCTGTCTGGGGGGTGGCAAGGTACAAAAAGCACCCAAACGGCAACAAGACTTGGGGGTTCGGGGGAGTGGCCACGCCCTCTCACCGCCGCCATGTCACCGGTCACCTCTGGTGTCCTGCAAGAGAACTGATCTGTCCTGACACGGGAGGGGAGTGGCAGCAGGGGACGTCAAGGGAAGTGTGGAGGTGGAGACCCCTGGCTCTAGTTGTCTGGAGACAGAAAGTTGGAAAGAAATCAGGCAAGTGTTGGCAGCTTAAGAAAAGACAGCGGGGCCGGTGGGGGGGGATCGGGTTGGCATCTGGAGGGCTTTCCTGGTTCTGCCTCTCCCTGTGTGGCCCCGAGGAAATCACAGTCCCTCTCTGGGCCTCCAAGGGCTGGGTGTTAGGTGACGGCTCTGATCCCTCTAATGTCTCAGCACTGGGCTCTCACATCCCGGTCGGATAATGGTCTGTCACTGGGGGCACCACACCCCGCCAGAAGAGAAGAGGACACGGGAGGTGGCAGGGGCCAAGGGCGCTGCGGAAGGGGAAACGGAGGGCACCGGCGTGGCCAGCTTGGCAGGCGGAGTTGCGGCCCTGGGTGGCACAGACCCCTCTGTCCCTGCACCACGCCCAGAGGGAGATGGCCCTCCGTCCAGTTTTGGCCAAGTCGATGTTATTTCTCCATCACAAGGACGCCAGCCCAGGGGCGCCTGAGCCATGGGACACACTTGCCCCAGAGAGAGGTGACCCTGGCCCCTTGGTCCCCTGTCTCGGCACGGTGGTCTGCAAAGTCCCTGCCTGCTCACATGCTTTTGGCTGCCTTTACTCTGTGCCCAGTGCGTTCCCAAAGGTTGCGCTTCTCATGTCTTTTTGAGGTGAATTCTTTATCTTTCTGTAACCGGTCAGTATGGTTGGGCTAAACGTAGCTCTGGGAAACGCAAGCCAGGAGCTCTTTCTTCGAAGGTTCTCTCCCGATAGAAAATGAATGAGCTGTTAAAAAATGGCTCCACTTTCTTACTGCTTATAGAGACACACAGCCAGGAAATCACCAAAGGCGTTATGTTATGTTATTTATTTATTTATTTATTTTGAGTTGGAGTCTCACTCTGTCGCCCAGACTGGAGTGCAGTGGCCACTCGCGGCCACCGCAGCCTCGACCTGCTGGGCTCCGGCGATCCTTCCGCCTCAGCCTTCCGAGTAGCCGGAATTACAGGCACGTGCTACCACACCCGGCTAAGTTTTTGATTTATTGTAGAGGTGAGGTCTCGCTGCCCAGGCGGGTCTCGAACCCGCGGGCTCAGGCAATCCACTCACCTCGGCCTCCCAAAGGCGCGGGATGACAGGCTGAGCCACCGAGCCCGGCTAAGGCGTTATTTTAAAGGCTAACTGTCCTCCAGCAGAATGAAAAGTACTCCAACCTTTTTAAAAGGCCTTGTTTAAATCACCTGAAATAATGAGGCACCCAGGCTAGCATGCTTCTAACTGGAAAGGCCCGGAACAAACATTAGCAGGAAGGTCATCTTCACACATGATAGTGCACTAAAGCTGTGGCTGACACTCTAAAAGTCACTGTGTCCTCCAGGCTGGAATGCAGTGGCACGATCAGGGTTTACCACGACCTAGACCTTCTGGGCTCAGGTGATCCTTCTGCCTATGCCCCCCGAGTAGCTGGAACTGTGGGCATGCCCCCCCATGTCCAGCTAATTTTTTAATTTTTTTTTTTTTTTTGTAGAGATGAGGGCTTGCTAGGCTGGTCTAACTCCTGCGGCCAAGCAATCCTCCTGCCTCGGCCTCCCAAAGTGTTGGGATCACAGGCATGAGCCAACGTGCCCGGTCATCTCTTTTTAATGGCACTGTAAGTTACTGTGTAAACACCCTCAAAAAACCAGAGGATTCCAGCAATAAGCACAGGCCAAGTCCTACCTACAAACTACAGTCAGGTAGAACACGTAACTCTTAGGTGTAGACAGAACCCTTTTCAAACACCTATTTAGACCACCCGGTTTCTGCAGCATTGCCAAATTCTAAAATCGTAATGAAAATTTTAAAGTCCAAAACCTACAAGCCATCAGAGGTTCAGTGAGCAGATTGTGCCATTTCAAAACTGAAATTGTGCTTGCATAAGCAAGTTACCGGGGCTAACCTTTCTGGATCGAGAGTCTGGCCTTCAGTTCAGACCGTGGCTATGCCAGGGTCAGAAATGTAACAAAACTGTGCTTTCACGGAGGTTAGCCAAGGTTCACAGGGTCATGACGGGGCCATTTTATCAGTCATGTCAGGCTCACACCCTATTGCCTGGGACAGATAAAAACTTTTATCTGTCAGTTGGCTAAATCTGCACCTCCTGCCTCATTTTGAATAGAGAAAGCCCGGGCCCAGCTTATCTAAACCAGAGCCTTGCCTTTACCAGCACTGTTTCCGTAAGTAAAGGTTGTGACACGCCAGTGACTTCTGGTCTCATTTTTGTCAAGGACGGTCCATAATCGAAGTGACTGGCTTTGTCTTCTCCCAACCTTAACTTCAGAGAACAGTTCTGGTACGGTCTGACAGCACAGATGTACTGTGTTTATTAAATGCTGAATGGGCTGATGGTGTTATATTAGAATGACAGTTCTCAGAGCGCTCACCTTTTCAGATTCATCTTCCTCTACAGTAAAGCAAACTCCCCTGAATCTAAAATTCCCTGTATACACAGACAATATATATCTTCTAATAACCGTTAGGGAAAAAAAAATCTAAGGTTCCTTCCTCACAGAAAATAGAAATGCCCAGATGGCAAACCCAGGTAGACATTTAGAAACCCGATGGAATATCCCAGTACAAATAATTCAGCCACTGAGTTTTCCTCGACAGGAGTCTTTATTTTTTGAGTCGGAGTCTCACCCTGTCGCCCAGACTGGAGTGCAGTGGCATGCTCACCACCATCGCAGCCTTGACCTGCTGGGCTCCGGCGATCCCTCCGCCTCAGTCTTCCAAGTAGCTGGGACTACAGGCGCGTGCCACCACGCCCAGCCAATTTTTTGATTTATGGTAGAGATGAGGTCTCGCTAACCCCTGGGCTCAGGCGATCCTCTGGCCTCGGCCTCCCAAAGTGCTGGGATTACAGGCTTGAGCCCCCGTGCCCGGCCCAGGAGTCTTACTTAAATACACGAAAAGCACTTTCAAATTTTGCTTTATTTGGAAATCATACAAATTCATGATTTTAATATTTAGACCGTAGTCGTGTAGTAGAGACACATAAATATTATAATATACATTGCGAAATTAAATATGAAGGCAACACGACACTATATAAAAACGTGCACGTCCACTGGGAAGGAGCCTGAGCTCAGTCTGCGTGTTCAGAGCCCGTCAGATTTCCCCCTGGAAACGGGTGAATCTTGCAGGGAGATTGTCCACAGGGTACACAGTGGGACTGGTTTTCATTGTGGGAGGTCCATTCAGAAGCTGCCAGTCACAATGCCTGGCCAGCTCCACTGTAAATATTTTGAGAAGAATTTTTGCGAATTCTTTGCCTACACAGCTCCTGAGCCCTCCTCCGAATGGAATAAAGCTGAACCTGGACGCGTCCTCTGGGTGAGGCAGTAAAAATCGGTCGGGATTAAATTCTTCCTTGTTCGTGAAGATGTCTGCCACATCGTGGGTGTCACAGATGCTGTAGATAACATTCCAGCCCTTGGGAATCTGGTACCCCTGCCAAAGAGTATGAAGCCCCGAGAGCTGACAAACTGGAATTTAAACTTTCAACCACACAATGCTGTCACCAGGATCTCTGAGGGAGTTATGAGTTAAAAGGAGAGACGGAGAGAAAGAGGGAGGTGTAGGCTGCTGAAACGTGTGTCTGCACAGAGCAGGACAATGATGAACCATAAAGCAGGCCGGGCACAGTGGACCACACCTGCAGGACTCTGGGACTTTGGGAGACTGAGGCGGGAGGATCGCTGGGGCCCAGGGCTTCAAGGCCAGCCTAGGCAACAGAGCGAGACCTTGTCTCTACAGGAAAGTCAAAAACCTAGCCAGACATGGTGGTGCTACTTGGGAGGCCGAGGTGGAAGATCGCCTGAGCCCAGGAGGTCGAGGCTGCAGTGAGCTGTGATCGTGCCACTGCACCCCAGCCTGGGCGACAGAGTGAGACCCTGACTCAAAACCAAATAAAAGCAGAAAGCATTTAAGCCCATGCACAGAGAAGTGGAGTTTTAAACCACAACAAAAAGGAGGGGAAGAGAACTTCTGACTTACATTTAATTCGAAAGTCTTAAGAGCAACCCGAAACCCTCCTGGAACTGGGGGATTCAGTCGGAGGGTCTCCTTAATAACACACCCGATGTATTTAAGTTGTTCCAAAATTTCCATGTCCAACTTGCTGTCTTGATTGCTCTTGCAAAGCAAACCCTATCAAAACAGTCAAACAGAGGCGACCGGGTTTTTCTGTGCTCCAATAAAATCAGCCCAGCAGACGTTAACAGGGCTTAAGTGGCCACTAAACCCACAGAGGCCCCGATGGGAGGCAGGGAGGGGGAAACGGCAGCTAGTGCCCCTCCGCCCCCACCCCTTCAGCCCAAACCCACTGTCTGCAATTCCAAGAGAAAGCTGCCACCAGCCAGAAGGGCCAAGCCCCCTCCTCCCCAGGTGAACACTGCCACCACCCACACTGATCACCAGCTCTGCACACTGATCACACCGTGCAAGCCCTTGGACACACGGACCAAGGAGGCGGCACCTGTATGAAAATCTCTCTACGAGGTAGAGGAGGGGTAGGAACACCAGGTCAGAGCCAGCCCAGATGGGACCCAGGCTGGAGGTCTCGTCCGCTGATCATTCACAACTCTGGCTCCCGACTGCTCCCCCCCCCCCCGCCCCCCTGGGCCCAGCACTCTCCCTGGCGGGGAAGCGAAGCCGGCTGGCCAGCAGCTGGATGTCCCAAGCCAGCGGGCCTCCCTACCTTACTCTTCAGTTCCTCTCGCACTTTCTGGAGAACGTGCGGGTAGAGCCCCAGGTAAGTGATCAGAGATGTGGCTGCACTGGCCGTGGTTTCGTGTCCTCCAAAGAGCAGCTCGGTTGAAGACTGCTTTAGGGCCTGAGAACAGGGCGGGAACGACGCTTTCACCCGCGTGCAGGCGGTTGCACAGAAACGTTGACCCGGAACCCAGCTGAGGGTTCCGGAGGGAAGAGGGAAGGGCTGAAAGCGTGGCCGATGGAAAACGGAGGAAAGAGACCAGGTGGGGTGGCTCGAGCCTGTAAGCTCGGCGCTTTGGGAGGCCTAGGCGAGAGGATTGCCTGAGTCCAGGGGTTCGAGACCCGCCTGGGCAACTTAGCGGGAGACTTCATCTCTGCCATAAATCAAAGAAGTTAGCCGGGTGTGGTGGCGAGCGCCTGTAGTTCCAGCTACTTGGAAGGCTGGGGCGGAAGGATCGCCTGAGCCTAGCGGGTCTAGGCCACGGTAGCTGCGATCGTGCCGCTGCACTCCAGCCCGGGTGACAGAGACTCCGACTCAAAACCAAAGAAAACCTAGGAAAGCAACGTCTTCGAGCAAAAAGCGAAGTCCCTTCGGCTCAGCCAGTGCAGAGCCCACGCTGCCCGGAACTCCTCGAGTTAAAGCCTCCGTTTTCCGAAAGCCGCCCGGGGTGCCTCGGAGCATTTCTGCAAATGCCAACGCTCCCTTTAAAACCGGCAAAGGCGGGGACGCCCCCAGGGCCGCGGC